ACTTTAAAACCTAGATGGGGAAAATTGCATGGCCTCAGTGGGGTTTTTTGCAGGATTAGTAGCAGTGGGATAAAGAGTTAGACATCTATTTTTCCATACAGTGTTTCCCTCATACAAGTCTTTCCCTCCTACAGCAACTTTGCAGGCTGCAGAAGAGCAGTGCCTTGGGTCTCAAAACTCATGTTGAACATGTACTGTAGCTCAGGTGTCTCAGTTTAGGAAGCCCAGCAAGGCACTTAATCATGTTGTGAACATAAATCAATAACTGATTCTACCAAACATGTCCTTCTGCCCAGACAGGTGATTACTGCTGATAGAGGAAGATAGCTTACTTCTTTTGCAATGCTTAAACCTAGTATTCTGGATTCTGCAGTTCTTTTCTATCCATTTGAGCTGGGATGTGCATGCACGTTACAGTCCTCCAGTTTTATTATACTAGTCCCTCTTCTCTTTTCTGAAAGGGGCAGATACTCAAAATCTGTGTAATCACACATACCTAATAATTTTGCACATGGCAGATATGGAAGTTTCCAATTTCTTCTGTGTGCTTATTCTAGTTTTGTCCGTTAGGAAGACTTCACCTGAATGGGCACTTTGTATCCATAGAATGACATTCAAACATCATGAAATAAATGCCCCATGTTCAATATTTATGTTTTCAAATTTTGGTGTTAATTCAGTATTCTTGCTTAAGCTGTATGACTCTGTTGCTTTTCAATAGAATTATTTCAGTTTCACACAGCCCAAAAAAACTGCAAAAATAGGTCTATGACTTATATTGAGCCTGCATATAAATAACATTCTGTTTAAAAGCTTATATAATTTATAATCTTAATAATCCTTAAAGAAATCATAATAATCCTCAAAGACACAATTCATTACTTATGCATAGCAACCTGTCTGTTAGCACATTATCTGTCAATGCTGAAAGCAAATGGCAAATTTTTCATAAATCCTTTTCTCAGGAATAACTACTAATGCTGTAACTGTAATTCTCTACATTAAATGCTTGTGTTCAAACATTTTAACATTATTTTTCCTTTGGACAGCTGTGCTCATAAACAAATGGGGATCTAAGCTCTTTTACAATGCTTTTAAGGGCGTTTTTGGTTGAAAAGAGTCTCTACTACAAACCAGCTTAAAATGGGGGTTTGTGCCTTTCTTTTGGGAGTTTTATTTCCTGGTTTTACTTTTCGGCAGTAGAGTTCTCAAAGGTTTTGAATCAGCAAGAGCTGCTTTAAAGTGATAAGGAATTGAGCTTACAAGGCTCTGATGTCAAAATACTTTTATTATTGTAGCATTGAACCAAAGCTTGGAAATAACTAGTTACTCACACAGTGACTGGTTTCCTTTTCTAATGATAAAAGAATAACAAGGATGTGCATGTAACTTTATGATAGATAACTTTACTGCTTTTGTGGTATAACTTTTTACATCATTTTCATAGTTATAGGGTTGTGTTCTCAGTAAACATTGAAAAAATATCACCTGGTACAAGTACTGGCTATGCTTCCAAGTACGATCTGCTTTCTTATATGTTGAGACAACAGTGCTGTGTATGGGAAAGAAATGTGTTTTGTACCACAGGCCAGCAGTGTGTAGCATTTAAAATTTTCAAAGTAACTAAAAGGTAACTAGTTTAGTTTAGTTTTGTTTAGTTTAGTTTCGTTTAGTGATCTGGAAAAATAAAGCCTCCGGACCCATGTTTATTATAATGGTAATATCAGGGCCTTGGACCTATTAACTGTGGCTAGATACATTTCAGAAGTAATATTCTAAGGTTTGTCCTGAATCATAATCCAATCCTTCCCAAACTTGTTCATACTTAGCAACTTTTGAAATTAAAGGAATTTTGAAAGCACATTGCAATTTCGTGTGAAGTTCCAACTCCAGACATGGCAGGATGACACAGATAATTTAGCCCTGCTTTTGGGGGCAGCAGGGTAGGAATTGTCATAGAAGAAAGATCCCTAGGAGTTTGAGCCCACCAATTCGTCAGTGACTTTCATTACCTTCTGGACTACCTGTCTAGGACAGAACTTGAATACAGTACAGTTATGCTTGTGGTTCTGGCTAGTAACCTGTTGTGTTCCGCTGTTGTGGAAGGACAATTGTGTAAGCAATTTCTTTTGCTCTAGCAGACTCCCCATTTTGTGGACAGCCTCACACTGTTTCATATTGGTTGCACAACTCCCTGAACAACAGACCATCTGCTAGAGCATGGCAAAATGGAGTCGGTTTCCCTTACATTTCAGCAGAATACTGGCTTTTGTTCAAACTTGATGAGCTTATACTTTAGGAATAGGCTTAACCTTATTATTCTGTTATACTTCACACAATCAATGAGATCTACATTTGAAGCTCTTCTCCAGGTACCCCACCACTGGAAGCAAGGCAGGTGGCAACCAGGGAAGGACTCTTTTCCTAGATGTCCTAGAACCTGTGAAATGCCCTTCCCAGGGAGGCTTATCTGGCACCTATATTAGTATAATTTTCACTTTATGCAGGAACTTTCCCTCTGCAAGGTGTATTTTTAAAATCCTTTTAAGTCCCTCTGACATTTTACTGTAAGGCCCTTTTCCAAGTTTCCTGAGAAGAGTAATAGGGTTCAAGGTAGTTTGAGGATGCTTGCGGGGCAGTATTAAAGCCCCTGAATGCCAATCCTAAATGCAGATTGAACCTTCAGAGGTATCTGAATGTGCTATTTGCAATCTAAGCATGTTTCAACCTCCTCCAGGGACCTTTTTACCCTTTGAAGGATTTTTTTTTAAATCTGAGGTGGCTAGCATTTTAGGGGCAAAAAACAACAACAACAACCTGGAGAGGGTCACTCTGGATTACTTGCCTGAGGGAGTAATCCAGAGTGGATTACTTACCTGAGGGAGTAATCCAACTGGAGCCATATATACATTCGGTTTCAGTTGAAACATTTTTAGTATCTAGTTTCAACCAAACCACCTATTTTGTTAGGCATTTCTTGTCCAGGTAAGAGTGCTGATAGAAGATACTCTTAAACACAGAAGATATTTTCTCCATAGAAAGTGCTGGGTCCAAGAATACCCCCAAGCTGCAAACCCAATCCGTCAGGGAGTGTGACCCCATTGAGGCCAGATAAATTTCCCTCTAACCAGTACAACAGCCCTCCTGACAGTAGAATTGCTATCTTATCTGGATTCAGTTTCTGCTTATTGGCTCTCGTCCAGACCATTATCAAAGATAGGCAGTGCTGAAGAACCTGTACAGCAGCATCTGCAACTGAAGGGAAGGAGAGAGAGTGCTTCATGTCCTTAGTATACTGGTGACAGTGAACATCATATCACCATATGACTTGTCACAACATCTTTATATAAATCTTAAAGAACATTGGGGAGATGACAACCCCTATGGGATCCCTAAACTGTGCTCCCTAGAGGTGAAGACAGCATCCCCAAGTTATACCATCAAGGTGTGGAAGCACCAAAGTGGTTTATCACCCAATCTCCAAAACTTGATAGCCATCCCAGAAAGATATTGTGGTCAGTGGTATCAAAAGCCAAAGAAAAATCCAGGAGGACTAGCAATCCATGGAATTTAAAAGGTTCATCATCCTAATTCTAAAGGACAAAGGAATTGGTAGTGTCAATATGCATTGAAAAGTTCCTGACTGTGATTCTTTGATCTGAAGCATTGCTTATTAGAAATCACATTCTGAATTTCAGAAAGTTCTATGCTGTTCACCAAGAATGAGAAGAAAAGGGAATAGAATAAAGTATTTGAAATTATTCACTTTTAAAATTCTGTCTTAAGGATAAGTGTTCAAGGGTAAAAGTAATAAAACAGATTTTGCTAAATATGCAGGCTGCTAGCAGAGACCATCACGTGACACCAGTCTGTGGCAACTCATTTACAGATTGCTGAATCAGAGAAAATGTGAGAAAAAATGCTGTTACTAAAAGGATGCCTATAATTGTACGAGTATGACATGGCTTTGCATTTTTTCCCCCCAAAAAAGGATGAAAATGAAACTTTGGGACCCAAAATACATAAAACAAACAAAATAGCAAAGTGTGTTGCTTATATGCCTCTCCATAGCACTTAAAGCACTGTCTGGGCAGTTTACAACTATGCAGGCTACACATTGCCCCCATTCCCAGAAGCTGGGCACTGATCTTGGAAGGATGGAAGGCTGAGTAAACCCCGAGCCAGTTACTTGGGTTTGAACCCAGTTTGTGAGCAGAACGTTGCCTGCAATACTGCAGTTTAACTACTGCACATAAGTCACAATTTTAATTAAAGTTTAAATCTCATTTCAGTCTTGAAGTTGGCTAGGTGACTTTGGGCTATTTTAATTAGTAAACTGAGTTAACTGGAGGAGATCCATTGAAATGAATGTGTCTTGATTGTCAACAGCAATGAAAGACTCATTGCTTTCATTGGTTTGTTCTAGATGGCATAATGTAGTCTTTAAACTCGAGAATGCAGAGTAGGAATGTGGAGGTACAAAAAGTTGAACTTTGAAGTGTGTGCTTTATTGCCAATCAATGAGGGGGAAATGAACGTAAATCTTACAGGAATACCTTCTTGTTTTGTATTTTTCCATTAATGAAAACAATGCAGTGCGTGGATTCTGCCATAGTCATGTAATTCCATTGAAATCAGTGGGGTAAATGGGTCATGGCTGGGTTCAGTAGGTCTACGCTAAGCATGACTAAGTTTAGATTCCACTGGTTGTCTTCAAGCCGTGTTATCATTCCACATCCAATTCACTAGTCTGCATTGTACTAGAATTAAAAGACTTAAAGGGCAGCCTTATCACTTTACTGCTGCTTTACATGCACTTCTTGTAGTATTTTAGTAGCTCATTGTCCACTGTGTACTTTTTATGGATAAATTGTTGGGGTTTTTACCCCTTGAGTAGAAAATCTGGGGTTTTCTTCGTGCTTGAGCTCATTTACCTGTTGAATATAAAAATGCCTCGTTCTGTTGAACTGGAATAAAAGTTGTACCTTTGCTCCCAATAGGGACCTTGCTGCAAGGAACTGCCTAGTAGGAGAAAACAATGTTCTGAAGATCAGTGATTTTGGAATGTCTCGTCAAGAAGATGATGGTGTATATTCATCTTCAGGATTAAAACAGATTCCCATCAAATGGACTGCTCCAGAGGCTTTGAACTATGGTAAAGAAAGAATGCTAACATATCTTTGTCCAAAACATATTCTTGTTACATTTTGCTATCAGAATGTATAGGGAAACACCTTAATACAAAATGGGTTAGTCCACTGCTAATCACAATTAGATGAAACCAATTGAAATGGATGAGAGTAGTTAGGGAGGACGCACCTAAGTTCTAGATAGCACTAATGTTGGATTGAACCTAATATTGGCATCTTCGGCAAGCCTTCTCTTAAGATTTCTTCTTTCTTTCTTTTCTTTTTAATCCATTTTAAAAAAGAATTCTCAGGACCTTTCGGTATGCTCTGGTATTTTAGGACTTCGATTGTTATATAAAGTGCCAGAAAGTAACATGTGGCTTCTGGTGACCCTATTAGAGATCTCAAGGCATGTGAGATATTTAAGGAATATATATGGTTTCCGTGGTTGACTGGGGATTTCAACCTAAGTCTTCTGAGTCCTAATCTTTTCTCTTTATCTTGCACCACACTATCTCCTTCAGCTGTATATCTCGTTTCTAACTGATACTTTTCTGTTATTTTATGTGATTATATAATATCATTGTACTTCTTAAAAATATTTTATGATAGCTCGTGGAGATTATTGGTGGAAGAGCAGGGTATATCCTCAAAATAAATAAATAAAATAGTTTTGTTTTGAGTTTAGTACATTATTGTAAATGCCCTTGTTTGTATTGATTAAAGATAAACAAATGTGTAAATAAATATCTTTTAAAATTAACAGAAAAGTCTGCAGAATTTTGGCAGTGTGTTTTTCAGACTGTTATTGTGCAAGTTGCTAGGTGGTTATAGCACCCATGAGAAAGTAGTTCGTAAATTGTGATAGGACAAGATAGAAGCTGATATATATTTTTCCTGAACCTTTTAGAGTTATTTACTTACCAGTTTATGCATCTCCTTGATATTGCCTCTGAAAATAAATGAAAGCACACTATTTGTGGAGAGAAGATTTGCTTGTAATTAGATGAGTTGCTTACAGAAGTAGAATAAGAGTGTTCTGTGTAAGAATGGAAGAACAGAGAACTCTGATATCACAAATAGCAACAATAAAACAGCATGCATCTCTTAGTCTAGTTCAGTGGTTCCCAACCTTGGGTAGCCCAAGTGTTCTTGTACTGCAACTCACAGAAGCCTTCTCCAGTAGCTGTGCTGGCCGAGATTTCTGTGAGTTGCAGTCTAAGAGCACTTGGATTACTCAAAGTTGGGAATCACTAGTCAAGAAAATTGATTGCAAATTATTAGGTTTGCGTACATTTTAAGGTCCTAATATATGTAGCACATGGCTGAACTGTGTTAAACTTCAGATAGAATTCAAATTCTCCTCCAAAAATGTAAGTTCATATTTCAAGAATTCTTCAGTTGAAATAATGGGAAATGAATCCAGAATGTAGGTGATGGTGTAGCCTACATTAAATGGCAAATTTAATAAACTAGATTCAATTTTCTTTGGAACCTTTCACAGTATAGTTGTAAAAATGATGTTCAATGTAAATATTGGTGGAACAGGTAATTCACAGTCACAACCTGCCCTTAGGAAGGGGAAAAGTTCATCTTTCTGTGCTGTGAAAATCCTCTTGAATGTCTGACTGACACGCTATTGTTAAAATTCTAATTTCCTAAAACTGTTAGGAGATCAGACAGTCCATTATAGCACACTGCTGATGTAGTACTTCTGTCTTTTACACTTAGATAAAAGATTGAGAATGCTCTACAATTTCATACACTCATTTCATTTTTACCCTGTGTGAATTGGCTCCCGCCCTTCCCATTAGGGCTTTAACCACACAGTGTTGTATTGCTTGATACCAAGTGTGATAAAATGGATTGAGAGGAATAGGCTAGGACTCAGGAGGTATGGATTTGAATCCTTGCCCACCCATGGAAGCTTGTTGGGGGTATTGAACTAGTAAAACCACTCCTTAAATATCTCATTTACCTTGAAAGTCCTTACATCTTATAAGCCGGTTCTGACTTCATAGCACATAGGAACAACAGTGTTAGGACAGAGAGACCTCAAAGTGAGTTGAGCTTTTCCAAGCACTTAGTTTAAGATCTCACAGAAGGAGCCACTGTTGTTTCCCACTAAAAGCCCAGAAAGCTCAATCTGCAATAGAATTAATAGCAGGTGCTCTGGCTCCCTAGCAGAATGTCCATTCCAGCTAAAGATGGGATTGAGACACATGTTCAGTAACTCCATTTTATATTTAATGAGAACGGACATTCCACCATATCTCTGTTTCAGAAATGTTATTATTTAGAACATCTTAAAAATAACATCAGTTTCTATACAAGAGAAGACCTTCCAAACATCAGAAGCTTACTCCTTAATGAGAGTACTAGATGAAATTGGAGTCATTTACTCACATGAAATGTTTGGACTTTTGGTCAATTTTGGGCTCTGGGGAATTAGAACACCTATTGCCACCATCCAAGTTCCTATTGCCTCTTTCCTTGCCTTACCCAAAGTAAATGGGCTGTTGAGTCTGTGAATTGAGATAACAGTAGTGGACCCAGCTGGCTCTACTATTGGAAATATCCATCTCTTTGTAAGGCAAAGTCTGAAAGATCTTTTCAGTTTTTGTGTTTTAACTCACATGAGTCATTCATGGGAGCAATACATTAAAATTGCAGCTTAAATCGTTATACACATCTAAGCATCGAATTCAAATACATATTTTATTCGGAAATTGCTTGTGTGTATTTTCATTCAGAACAGTTGTTGATGGTTATTTTTGAGATGTTCTAAATAAAATTTCATCTCTGGTCCAAACTGGGCCTCTCAGTTTCATAGCTGCATAAATGCTCTTGAGAAAATCATTTTTGTTCATTATAGGCTCATGGTTTCAGGCAGCATAACTTGTTCAGTTTTCAATATCACTAATATATACCACTCATTTTTACCATCAGCATGCTTTGGGACGTACCCTGATATTATACTGGATAGGTAATTGACTCTGCATAACTTACCTTTCTTAAGAAATGAATTACTGCTAGATGACATTCTTGAATTTTTTTTTAATGAAAAGTCTTAAATTACTATATGGCAGGCTTCACAAAGAGAGGATATGCAGACCTACAAAAGTAATCATAGCACCAGCAGCACAGTGAATGCCCATAATTGCTCTCTACCAACCAGGCAGCCTAATTTAAAGCAGCATGAAATGATATTTAGGTTCTTGGAGAAACAGAATTCACAGAGGTCAGAACAGTTAGCATAACCCTGACTGTCAGGATCAGTCATATGTATTCTGTTACGGCTTGAAATAAAACATATATCCCACTTTTAGAATTTTAGCTTAATTTTAGCCATCAGAAACATCATTTCTAACATCAGCTGGAGAAAGAAGGGTGAAAAGGAATATTGCAAGAGAGAGAGAGAGAGAGAGAGAGAGAGAGAGAGAGAGAGATTTTCCACAAACATTCTTGAACTTTCTCAACATAAACTACCCCACTTAAAACCTGTAAACTCTGAAAACCATTTTAGCTTCCATTTATAAAGATCTTTGTGAACATTCTTATTTCCAATAGTATGTCTGACCCAGAGATCTCACAAAATGTTTGTAGTTTGTGAGAGAGTACAAGAGGAAGTGGGGAATTCCAAGACCTAGAATCTAAATGCATATGAACTTTCTTTTCAAAGTGACCTAAAGAAATAAAGAGCAACGGTTGTAAAAAAAAACCAACTCATTTGATTGAGTGAAAAGCACAGCTCTAATGTGTTATCTGAGAAGCAGTAATGGGTGTTTTTGGTTACTAGTGCAATGAGCAATTCCCTCCTCGCTTGCGCTTCTCTCCTCTCTCTCCCACTGCATCTCCAAGTAGGCACACACAATCTCCAGCATATCCTCAAACCCGTGGAGCAAAGGTTGAAGGTGTACCCAAGTGCTGAGATGCAGAAGAGGAATCCTTCCTCCTATTCTGCCTTTGGAAACCATTCCATTGATGAGAGTGACTAATTAGATACAAGTTCTTGTACCTGCTACGTAGTTTAAGTGGCTCCCAGGTGTGATTGGGTTCATTAAAGATCTGAAGCAGTTCCTCCTTTTTGGCAGGAAAGGACAACTGAGTCTCTTTTTGAACGTTATCAGATTTATTTAGTTTAACATTAGGTGAGTTTACAACTTCTATTGGTTCAAATCAACTAAGATCTGGTAACTGTCCAAATTGTGAGGACAATAACTCTGTCTGGAAATTGACAGGATTCATTGAGGGACTGGCCCAAAATGTTCCCGATCGGTGGGCTTCCTCAACGGAGCATTCTGGACCACACATATTGTCCCACAACAAGGTGGGGTCTGGCCCAATCTCCCTCCGGTGGTGGGTGGTTGAAGGAAGGTTCCGACTGAATCATCTTCTTCAAGTGACCTTGTCCCCACAGAAAGACCACGACCGTCCATTCTAGAGCTTCTGCCAATGTCCCCTTTAGACTTGTCTGGGTCAGGTAGCAACCCTCCTACCTTCAAATTAGTGAAGTCCTCCAACAACCCGCACATTCTATCATATTCGTATTCTCTTTTCTCACCCTTCTTTTCCTCCCCTTCCTTCTTTTGCTCCCTCCTTGGTGCACTGAACTGTTTCCTCCCACTTTGCTCCCCTACATCCTCCACCCACATGTACAAAATGAACTCCTCCTCCCCTTCTCCCTCTCTCTCTTCCACTAGACAGATTTCAATCTTCTCCTCTTTCCCCTTTGATTCCCTTCTTTTCCCTTCTTCCACATTCAACTCCTCAGTTTCCATTGTCTTCCCTACTTCTACAGTATATCTCTCTCCCACTCATAAGTCTCTAGCTGAGGGGACAGCTCACTGTGTTCTTTCTTCTTTGGGTCTACTGCTCCTTCATACCAGGGTATACCCTATGGATGCCACTGTCTTCAAAGTACCTTTGCTGTGGAAGAAAGGAAAACACCACATTTGCTGGCTTAGAGAGTAGACACTTTCATGGGAGGGCACTCACGGAAATCAAAATAGATGTGTAGGAATCT